AGAGGGAGGAGTCCAACATGGCGCTTGCCAGCTCCCCAGAATGGCTGCTGCCAGTGTCTGTGTCCCCAGGTAGAGTTCCAGTCGCCTCCTGCCTGTCCAGGAGACGCTCCAAGATCAGCAGGTGGGTCTGGCCGGGTTCCTTTCAAACGACTGCTTCAGCCCTGGGTCTTGCAGGCTGTGAGATTTTATCTGCATCCTTTAAGAGCAAAGCCTCTGCTTCCCACAGCCCTGTGGCGCCCCTGAAAGTAAGCCCCAGTGACCTTCCAAGCTGAACATTCTGGGGACTCGTCTTGCCAGCGCAGGGCCCCCAGGCTGAGTCTGATGTGGGGCTTGGACCCCTCATTCCTTGGGGAGAACCTCCCGGTTGGGGGTCACCTGCCCCAGGGGAGGGGTCTTGACCATACGGTGTGTCTGCCCCTCTTACCCGTCTCAGGGTGGTTCCTTCTTTGTGTCTTCAGTTGTTGACCTTTTCTGCTAGATTCCAGTCTATTCCAGTCTAATTCTGCTAGATTATCATCAGTGGTTGCTCTGTAAACTGTTGTAATTTTGGTGTGTCCATGGCAGGAGGTGAGCTCAGGCGCTTCCTGCTCCGCCATCTTGGCCCCATCCTCTGACAATCTTTACCTCCCAGTAAATGAAAGGCCAACTGGATACAATTGGATATAATAGTCCTCCCTTAATACTGATTTTGAGTAGTGAGAATATCTTTTATGTCATGTAATAGTTTTGGTCAGTTGTGTGTAATTTATGGATCTGTGTGAGTGTCATGTAGAGGTAAATGTATTGAATTCTTTTTACCACTTTTATGCTCTGCATTAAGATGTTATATTTCACCATCGGTGTTCCTTATATCTCCATCTTTATTTAAAGATTGGTGTGGGTTAAAAAAAAAAGCACTATTTAAGAATGAAAATGAAAACAATGTAAAATGGCCAAAACCACTGGATGATAAATGACTGGGGGACTGGGTGCGAGCATGTGGCTCTGATCACCATCTGATGTGTTCTTGGAAGCTCTCACGTGGCTCATTAATAAACAGAAAATGTCTAAATAATTATTTTATGTGTTGCTTTTTTTACAAATGGAAATCGGAGCAGATGCCAACATTGCCTTTTCTGATGCGAACGTGCTTCTGGAGGTCACAGGGTTTTGTAAACCAGCGAGTGGAGGATTCTGCTTTCACTGATCCTCGGGCTTCCTTTCAGTTTTTTATTAAAAAAGGAAATAAATCATAATACTTTGTAAACTGGGAGGCTCAAGTTTGCATTATCCTCTACCGTGTTACCGAAGAGACACATCCTGGGTAAAGCGCAGGCTGGAAACCAGGCTGCTCTGAGCTGGCGTCTGGGGTTCTGTCATTCACTGTGCCGCCTCACACACGGTACTCGGTTCTTCTGAGCTGTGCGCAGCTCGTGCAAAGAGGAAATACCCAAAGCAGCAGAAAGACCGGGGAGCGGAACTTGCCTTTTAGTGTTTCTCCTGGATCCCGAAGAGGATCCTGCCAAGGCTCTGGTTTCTGGGGCTTGGTTTCTTCCTGTCTTGTTTTTCTCGCTTTAATTTAGCTTTGTCGGCTTTGACTTCTTGTCTGCCTGACTTTTCCACCTGTCTCCTGCACCTCCCTCTCCTGGTTGACCCTGGACCTGGTGTCCCGAACATCTGGTCCCCGGCCCTCTCTGATCTTTTTTTGGTCCCATTTGTGCCTCTGAACACATCTTCCTGTGGGCCTGTGATGGACCACGTCGGCCCAGCCAATTCTGGCTCCTGGGCCTGCCCTGGCGTCCCGCCAGCCTGGCCCCACGGCTTCCCTGGCTCCATCGACAGTTCTTTGTTTGGAAGCCTCTTAAACGAGAGGACTTGGGAGGGAAGAGGGAGGCACTTGACAGAAGTGGCACAAGAGAGTGTTAAAGACGGAGGGTTCTCAGATTCCAAGCAGGATTTTCTTCCCTCTGGAGGGCTGAGCAGTTCCCATCCCGTTAGCAGGCGTCTGTGTTGCCTCCTAATGTCAGGACTTGGGCCAAGCCTGACTCTCACAGCCCTGCCGCCCCAAGCCGAGCCCTTTTGCACTGTGCTTTCTGAGTTTGCCCCTTGTGAGCGACATTTTCTGTTACTGAGGTCCGCCCACCCACTGGAGGAAATCTCCACAGCAGTAGAAAGACGAGGGGATGAGAACTTGCTCTTAGTATTTCTCCTGGATCCCGAAGGGGATCCTGCCAAGCTCTGGTTTCTGGAGCCTCGACGGCGAATCATCTTTAAAAAAGATCAAAATAAGAAAAATGCCTTTATATTTACCATTCTTTTTGCTGTTGCTGGTACTGTCTCTTTCATTGTATGGATCCAGATTTTTAACCAAAGAACCTCCTTTCACGGTTCTCGTCGTGCGCATTTGTTGGCGGTGAATTGCCTTAGCGTTTGCTTGCTGAAAGAGTCTTCGTTTTGTCTTCATTTCTGAAAGCTATTTTCTTTGTGTGTAGTATTCTGAGCTGACTTGTTTTTTCCTTTCCCTGCTTTAAGGTTGCCACTGTGTCACCTTGTGGCTTGCATGGTTTCTGCCAAGAAACTGTCTGTAAATCTTACCTTTGTTCCTTCGTACAGGGCATCCTCCGTTCCTCGTCTCACTGACCCCCTGCCACTCCAGCTTAATTAAAGGTTTTCTCTTCCCTTTTCTGATTTGCCGAAGCTTGATTATGATGTGTCTAGGCATGTGGTGTTTTATTTTTGCCTTTCTGTCCATCCTGCTTGGGGTTTTCTGGAGGGCTTGGATCTGTTTTGTTGTTTCTGATTTTGGGGAAGTTCTTAACCATAATCCATGCCGCTATTCCTCCTGGGTCCCCTTTCTCTTAATCCTCTGGAACTTCAGTTACACGTACGACAGACCCTTTGATATTGCCTGTGGCTCTTGATTGCTACATTCTTTTTAACTCTTTACTTTTTTTCTCTTTGTATCTTAGCTTAGATAATACTCATTGACTCATAAGTTCAAGTGTATTGAGTCTTTCCCCAGCTGCGTCCAGTCATCTGCTAATGCACTCTAATGAAGACATTTTTCATACGCAGTATAATTTTTTTTGCTCTGGGATTTCCATGTTTGCTTTTGTATGTGTCTCTCTATGGAAATTCCCAGTTTTCTCATGCATGTTGCCCTTCTTTGGCATTAGATTATTCCTTAGCATATTATTGTGTTATTTTGAAGCTCCTGTGTGATAATTCTGGCATCTGGATCGACTTTGGTTTTGTCGATTGCCTCATTTCTTGACAGTGTTCTTTTGTGTGTTTGCGTTTCTCAAGATTTTTTTTTTAAATTGAATTCTAGACATTGTGTGTGAAAGGACAGTAGAAACTGAAGTCGATGGTATTTACACCTGGAAGTGGGCTTCTGCCTCTCTGACCGTTAGTGAGGGGAGTGGAATCAGTCCAGGGGCTGAGGTGGTTCTGTGTTGTGTTTTCGCTCAAGTCGCTGTCAGGGCACCACAGCCTTCAGGTTCGCCCGGCGGTGGGATGCTGTTGCCGTCTGCTTTGTGTGGGTGGTGGCGCACTGGAGAATGGTCCTCGCCGTGCCCTTTCCACCCTCAGATCTCAGGAGACCTTTGCCACAGGGGGTCTCTCTCCTGCCCCTCCCCCAGCATCAGACTCCCCTCCATCCTTGATACCTGGTGCTTAGGCGTCTGGTTTGAATGAAAGATGGTCCAGGGAGATGGGCGGACTTTCAGGCCTGTGTGCAACTAAGGGGGCTCTCTCTGGTCTCCATCCTTGTCAGGTGTCCTTCCCACGAGTAACTGGGTGGCGGCCACCGGTCGCTGGACAGGATCTTGTGAATGAGCACATCCTCTCAGCTGTCCTGGTCTGTCATGCTAACCGACACTCAGCTTCCAGAATTTTAAACATTTTAGCTGTTTCTTCTTCCTCACTTTTATGGTGACTGCCTTTCCCTCCCAGGCTCTGACACGAAACGGTTGTGTGTCCCGTTTCCTTGCAAGAGCCTGTCATTTTTTTTTTTAAATTCGGCTGACCTGGTTACCTTGCAGCCTCCACTCTGGTGGGCTCAAGGAAAGTTTTGATTGCGTAGATTGTCCGGCTTTGTCTTGTGGTGGGGGCTACATTTCCTGGTGGTTGGCTGCGTTGTGGTGGGAGAGCATCTGGTGGGGGTGAACAGATTTTACTTGTTCTCCTTGTCCTTTGGTCCTTCCCTCCAAGGGTGGGCGGAGCTTCTGTTTCCCTCCCGTGTTTTAGGTCAGGGGCTCGTTGGAAATAAAATATACTTCTCCTTCGTGGATCATATTTTTCTTACCAGACACCCATCATCAATATTCCATCGAAGGGAAAACCCCTTTTTAGGGGCTTAGTGTGGTGATTTACTAACTTTACGAGCTGGGGAACCATAAGATATGGGCTGGTACATTTTCTTTTTTAAAGAAACCACTTTTTATTATAAAAATAATTCACTAACAAAGTAGAGAGCTTAAAAATGCAGGAAAAAAAATAAATAACACCCATCCACAATCCCACGAGCTAACAAAACCATGACTCATATTGTGTCGAATTGCTTCTAGTCATTTTCCTACAAGTGTCTCTGTACTGGTTTGTCTACATGAGTATATGTGCCCCCCAATATGTGTGTTTTGTTTAAATAAGCTAGTTTCAAAAAAGTGTGTTTTTTTGCATCCTGAGTACTGCAGCACTCGTGAAATGATGATGTGTTATTCATGTTTGTCTGGTCAAGATGCCAAAATTTATGGCATATTTTCAGCCTGCTCTTAGGGCTGGATTCCTTCTTGCAGCTACTTTACGTGAACAGCCTGGACAGGTGTGTGTATGTGATGCTAATGGAATGTGATTCATTTCAGAAAAGAAACAGTTGTTGATTCCGTGTGCCGAGGTCTCCCCTCCCCTGTGATTTCCTTCTCTTTCCATTTATGCTGACCTGTTGTCAGGTTGTGAGCACACAGAAATAAGGAAGGTCTGTGGTCTTCTTAATAATGTGTTTTCTTTTCTTGCTTTTGCAGGAAGTATTTCGGAGAAAAAATCGGGCTGTATTTTGCCTGGCTGGGATTATATACGTCCTTCCTCATCCCATCATCTGTAATTGGGGTGATTGTGTTTCTTTATGGATGTGCGACCATCGAAGAAGATATTCCCAGGTGAGCTGGTTTTAAAGGAAATGTCTCAGTTCCCACATGTCAGTCGTTTGGAACTTCATTACAGTTGCAAGTGCGTGTCACGTGCCTCCTTCCAAAGTCCCTCTGTCCTTCCCCGTCCCTTCCCACGCCTGTCACTTTCCTCCTAGAGCTGGGGGAGTGACGGATTCTGGGGATGGCTCAGAGCCGTGCTGGGTGCGGCCACTTCCTTTCCTAGTCAAGTTCTGCAGAGCCAGGGTCTGACTGGGCGGTGGAAGATAACTGACAAAAAAGAAATCATGCCCGGGAAAAGCTTTTTTCCCTCAATTTCTTGACTTTTGTTCCTCTGGTTTCCCAGCCGACCCAAGGCAGGAAGTGTCGAGGGGGGCTGGGTGGAGATGATGTCTGTGTGGTCGGACACTGCTGGGATAACGCTGTGATGCTGTCTGCAGAGGCAGGCAGCCCTGGAACTGAACTCAGCCCTGGCTCAGCAAGTCAGGAACTCCAGGAGGTGACAGGGCCATGGCAGGGCTCTTGGAGATCCAGGAGATGGAGCAAAGGCTGGTCCTTATGCAGAAGAGATCTTACAAAGGAAATAAGTGCTTAAAAATAGTGCCTAAAGGGCTGACCGTGTCACATATTAGCTGTGTGACCGGGCAGCTCTCCCCAGTCTCCGCTTCCTTGACTGTACAATGGTAATGGCCACGTCCACCTCCTGGGGGGTGGTGAGGATTAAAGGAGGCAGTGTCCGGCACACAGCAGGACAGCAATAAATAATTGCTGAATGAGTCAACAACGTATGTGGAAACCAAGTCCAAGGGACTAAAGACACTTAGCCAATGTTTAGAATTCAGATCTCTTGCCATCTTCAGAGCTGTCCTTGCAAACTGAAGCATCATTTGTGTGTTTGAATATTCATAGAAATGCGCTGGAACTAGCTTAAGCAAAAAAAGGGCATGTATTCTCAGGGGCCCCGGGTGTCTCAGGAAACCCTGTGGCAGGCCTGTGGCTCACCCAGGGAGCCGTGGAAACAGGGCCTCTTTCTGTTGATAGCCTATCTCTGATTCTGCCTAGTACTTACTTGTTCCACTGCAGTTTTCCTCTATTGGATATAACCATTGCTGCCAGGAGCGATGGGTGTTATACTCAAGTGGCCCCAAGTGGAAAGGTCCTGCTGACTCATTCTGGCTTAGGTAGAGGCTCTGGGCCAGCCAGACAGGGCTGTGGCGCAGGATCCCACTGTGCCAGCAAGATAGTCCCCCTGGATGGGGACACTGGGCAGACTGTGGGTGTCCGCTGTACTTGGGGGCAGTACTGGG